CAAAAAAGTTGAGGTTGAGGTCAGTCTGCAGTCAGTCAGCCTGAGGAGTAAAGAAGTTGGTGTCTGTTTCTTAACCTATAATGTATTGAGTATTTTCACTAAATCTGCTTTCAGTCATGTCAAATCTCCAGACATTTTCCAGAAAGGCTGTGTGTGAGAATACCAATGTTTGAATCCATTACTTTTCTAAAACCTTTCCAGCAAGGCCCCTTCGTCACATGTCCGGAAAATGTTAATGTTAGCCCATTTGAGAAAACAGCAGGAAAATGCCCTGAAATCTCACAGCGAGCGAGTGATGATGTTAACACGTAGAACAGTCTACAAACATCCTACCTTTGAAAGACAATGAGATTGTGCCAATGTGCTGTAAACAAAAACAGATGATTTCCACAGCAGAATTTATATTTCATGTCACGTGGCCCCTCACCTGAATGTCCAAACATTTTCCTGAAGTTGTGAACATTTCAGACCCGAAGAAACTCTTCAGGTGGTTCATACGTGCAAGACAAACTCCAGAAAATGTGTGGGCCCAATTTTTCAGACATACCAAACATGTTTGATATGTTTGTTATCATATCTTCCAAAGATTTATATCTTGCATTGATCAAATTCATGTTTACTTGCCAGCAGTCTTCTTATTCATTGCTTCTGCAATCTAATTTCTATGCTCTTTCGCACATTTCCACTGCCAACTGTCCATCAGCAGAATTGCTAAAACTGGCAGCAGGATGCACATCACATTGCCTGTTTGCTGCATTTGAGAATACATCTGGATAATGCAAATATAGCAGGGACCCACTCACTGAAGAACTGTTTCATGTTGCTATTAATGGTCAGAAACTCTGCAGGTTACCCTTAAAGTCTTTTTTCTATGCAAATATTCTGATATTTTCTGACCTTGGTGGTATAAAAACACCCTGTGGCTTTTGGACACATTTATTAAAACACAATAATTAGCAAAGAATTCGGGCCGTTGTCAGTTTGGTCTCGCTAACTAAGATAACATTATTGACTCTTTTGAAAACCATGAGCAGCAGGGGATTTCTGATCTTGCGCGAAAGGGAAAGCAAGACGCTGACAGTTGGGCCACACCATATGAGGTTCATAGCACACGGAAAAACAGAGAGTTGACATTTTCCCTCTTTGGAGCTTTGAGATTAATAAGACGTTCAGTATTGACACTTCATAGAAAGATGACTGCTTTGGTTCGGTCCACTGTAATCAAATCAGATGCTGTGGTGTATGTTAGATATTGAAAAAAGAAGTATATTTCATTAGTTTTAAATTCAGGCTGCAAAGGTGAGGGAACATCTGAAGAGTGTAAATAATAGAAAGAGAAGTGCTCATCAGGCTCGAGTCATGTGTATTAGAAAGATCATTCTCTCATAGGGTCAGAGGACATTCACTATTAAAGGGCAACATCAAATGTTCTCTATTTCTACCTTCACACAAGGATAGAGGAGAACATCTCATTGTGACAGTCTGAAAGGATGAATCACTTCTTTAGGTCTAACAGCTGTGAAAAGTATTATTGAAAGATGCTGACATTCTGTAATTTCCAGTTAAACAAGAGTAACGTTACATAGTAAGTCAGAGTGACATAAGTAGTTTTAAAATGCATATTCCTGAAAAACGCATTTCTAACTTACACATAATTTGTGTGGCTAAGTGCAAGGATTGCCTGGAAATACAGCGACAGCAAAATAACAAAAGTCCGCAATGTTTGCAAAATGGCATCATTATGTCGGGGTGGTTTCTGCATCCGTCAGCGTGTCCCAACATGACTCATACTGAGACTCAGATGAAACCTGCTAGCTACAAATGACATGTCCTCAAGGGAACGAGCAGTTCTGGAGTCTACGTGTACTAGTCCCTCCTTTCCCCTTTGATATTCAGTCCTGTAGACACTCTGAGCCTGGGGACCCAGTTCACCAACTTGATGCATAAACATTAATTCGATGTGGGAGGGACTCAGAACGCCCCTCTGCCCTCATCACCTGTCTTACAACACCTAAAGTTTCCTGTTTCATATGAAAATATTCACATATTCTCTCCAGGAAAAAGTGAGGAATATTGCTGAGTTTCCTTTAGCCCCGTGTGGATCCCTCCACTAATTATTGCCTTTGTATACCATCAGTCTTCGGAGGTATTTTTGGACCCACAGTGTGGGCATTCCCCAGACTTTGCCTTTCACATATGATAAACGCATCAAGATATTATCCTGTTAGATGTGTTCACAACAAGACAAAAATCTCCAGAGCATTCAGATGCAGAGGCAAGACTTATAAATTCTGCTAAGGCGACAACACGTTTTTGTTTACAGTCCGGCCTGTATCACCATAAGCTCTTGAATCTTGTTGACATCTCTGTCTGTGTCTTCTATGTGTAGGGCACCTCTTTTTATCCTGAGATATTTGCATTCTGTTTGTTTTTCTTCAGTTTTACTTTTGTCACAAACTCCAGAGAATGTCCACACCAGCTGACTCGCACATTTGAGTTCTCACATACAGCCCGTCTTGAGATTATCTGGAGTTGAGCGCATGTCTGAATGCAGCTGTAGGGTGTGCATTTACAGGCCAAATTAAAAAGTCATGTTGGAAAACACTGATTGGCACTGTACATGGCACATTCACTGCACAACAGAGCACAATCAATAATGATCTGTGTTAGGGAAACTGTGAGTGGCAGTGAGTGTGGGAGGCGAGTGGGTGATTGTGACAGAGAGAGAGGCAGAGAGAGAGACAAAGATCACCTATCAGTTTCCCCTCCAACATTAAGTTGTCCTTCTTGTCTCCGCTGAAGGAACAGCTTGTCACAGAGGAACTAATTAAGATGGTAACTTGTACAAATTGAACAGCTCTGCCACCATTAAACATCTGTCCTATTTGTATTTGCGAGCTGCTTGAAGGCAGTAATTCAGCAGACAGGTCTGTGTTTCTCAGCAGCACACCAGTGCTAGCTCACATGACATTTAACCATTGGCCTGTCTGATCATTTGCTGTCTGAAAAACTGAGCGTTTAATCCCTACGCAAACACCAAGCCGCCCTGGAAGGAAATTCGAAAATTGCAAGCATCTATTCCAAGCCTATTCCAGGATAATGTTCTCTTGTTGCACCACAACTCCGAGGTTTCCATTGCAACAGCGAGTTGTTTCCATTGTGCATGCACAGCAGACAGACAGTAATGTTGTGACATTTCCCCGCCCACATGAGCACAGCAGGCTAATGATGGCAGAGGCAAAGTTGTTTCCATTTGCCCACCTTTAAAACATGACCACAGGGAGCTAAGCAGGTGGGTTGAATCTGGAAAGTTTGAAGTTGTACTTCACTTGCAACTTACTTGATAAGCAAATGTGAAAAGTTGGTGCATGTCATAAACAAAGACTGACAAACTATAAAGTGAAGAGTGATAACAGAGGTATATTGATATTATTATAACTGCTTCAACACACATTTTTGAGTCACCAATTTTCCCATGTCAGGATATCCTTCAGTTACAGAGTTGTCAAGACTGAAGCCTGGGGCATTCTTCACTTTATGAGTCTGTGAACATCCAAATTGGGATTTTGCATAAAAGTATAGAAAAAAAACAACTATCCTCCCTTGCTCTCAACCAAACATGATATGTTTCTATGCAAAGAACCCACCTGAGTTTGTCACAATACCAAACCTTTCATCCTGAGAAACCTGAACTTCACAACCTTGTTGAGGGTGTTTGCATACTGTATGTTGTCATAATGCTTTTAAAATAAAGTGTCATGCAGCATATATCTGCACTCCGTTACTCTTGCATGACAACTCAATGTTTCTTTCAAAAAATGTAATCCAGTCCCAATAATATGAGATAACTAGTGAATAACAACTCAAACTAGGCGTGGTAAAAAAAATCTGATTGTGGTCAAAAGACAATTAGATGTATCACTGTCTCACTGGTGGTTGCAGCAGTTTGCAGTACGTTTATAATAATAATAGTTTGTGAGATTATAATGAAGACAATCTGAGTTACTCTTAGATATTTATAATATTATGTCTATATTCATGCAAGTAGGTTGGCATGCTTGCTACAGTTAGTAAAGTGTACAGTCATAATGTTAGTCAGCCCGACATAAGGTTGACTTAGCTTTGTCTTGCACTTCAACCTACAGAGGTGATGTATGTTTTACAGTCACAAGGGAAAACAAGTGGAAAGGAGGGAATTGCATCTGGTGATGTCTTCACTGCAGAAAGGGATCAGGCAGTATCATTATCAAATGGTCAAATGTACTGTGCCACAGCTGCTGTCTTGTAAGAAGTCTTCCAACCAAAACGCTCAGCTTCTGAATGAAAGCCACCTACACCAACAGTTACTAGCAATGTCAAATTATCAATGTATAAAGGTAGATTTGTTCTAAGGTTTCACACCACAGGCTGTATTATTAGTTTAAGCTGAGACAGGTATATTTTCAAATAAAGATGTTTAATGTGATTGATTTAAATTGGCAGCCATACCATGTGAATTTGTCCCAGAGGATAAATGACCAACTTAAAAGAAATCTGGTGATATCTTGGCCCTCAGCAGTGTGTGGCACTAGACCATGTACCGAGGTGAGAACACAACTCTAGTGTGCAAAAGATCGCCAGGAGAGAGAGAGAGGTGCAGAGATGTTCGTTGGGGGCCAAAGATAGTCTGGGACTAAATTCTGTGTGTCAGATATTCAATCATATCAGGATAGACTACCACACACTACATCTATTAACCAACCAACACTGATTGGTAACATGAAAACCTATATCCTTATAACCTGACTGACCACGACTGGGTTCACATTCTGCTTGGTGGATGTTTTCTACCATACACATATTGCAGGGGGTTGAATCTTGACATTTATTTACCTTTGTAGCTGCGCAGGTGGAAGACGCACGCTGATGACGTTTTAATCGGACACACAAATGTGCGGTTGTAACAGTAGAGTCATCGAACCCGAGGTTATTCTCAAGTTAATCAGATTTATGTCGCACCGTGTAGCAGACAATAAACTCATAGATGTGGTTACTGAACTCTCAGAATCAGTAGGTGCCCAAATGACAGCGACACCACGAGGCATCAGGGGAACGGGAGCTGGGCGGGAGGAGAGGAGGGTGCGCTCAGCTCGGTTTGGTTGCACAGGCAATGGAGCAGAGGTGTAACTGATCCCAGCTGCTGCCGTGAGGGAGCCAGAGCTATTTCCGTCCCCCGTGGGTTAGTCACGTGTCCTCGGGGAGCCTCAGTTTGAGCTGCACGTCTTGGAGGGAGAAGGAGCGGGAGCGCACCGTTACGCACAGCCGAGTTGGGTCGCAGCATCTCTGACAAGCGTTGATGACCCGGCGGCGGATCAACCAGATCACTTTTGTTTCGGGGCGTTGTCGTGCACGCTCCTCGGTGGCGTGTGTGCGACTCAGATCCATCGCGGTCTGACTCAGTGTGCGTGTGTGTGTGATCCCTCAGTCACCGACTCGTCAAAACTTCTGCGCTCGCCAGCTGTGATCCTTACTGCGGGCGTCACATTGTTGCCATCCACCGCCACGAGTCGACGCACGGAGCTGTCAGCGCGGAGCGAGGTAGGCTGCGCTTCTCCTCTCTTTTGGGGTTTATATGGGGATTTCACACAGGAGAGTACACGCTGTTAGTTTGGTAGAAACGCCGTGCAGTGTGATGTTGCTGCTGCAGCATTATGATGATCCATATCGGCTGCTTGTGAGAGCGCATGTGAAGTGGAAACATGCTGGATGAAAACAAAAGAGTGAGGCTGAGCTGGTGGTTCGAGGAACGCGTGAGAGAGAGCAGTGGTGAGACTCTGATGTTGTGCGTAAAGATCCCACCATAGTTACACTAACATTTATCTTTATTTTAAAAAAGGGATTACAACACACTGTTAGAGATGCTGAAACTGTTTCTCAGTGGAATCAATGTGTGGCTGGTTTGCTGGATGAGAATGGTCTGTGATAGTTTGAAGCCCACTGTATGACTGTGATTTTGAAGAAGTATTGTCATATTTCTTGCACCCATCTCCTCCATCATAGTGTGGTAGTACTATTATGATCCTGGGGTGACTCCCAGCCACACCCCTGACAATAGCCAGAGCAATATACAGACTCACAGAAAGAATGCCTGATGACAAATGTTTCTATCCAGAAATGATAAATCAAGTGTTTTTTGTCAAGTTATTTGTATCAGAGATAATTAATCCTATAGAAGAACCATCGAAGACACAATAGAGTACATTTACTAACAAGTACACCAGGAATCTTACACTGTCCCCACCTGGCTGTTCCAACATGTCAGTGTAGTTACTGTGGAGACAGTGCTGCAGGTGAAACTGTGGCTGTGGCGTCAGAGAAGCTGAGTGTAAGATGTCAGCTCTGCATCAATAATGCAGGATACCAAAACAACGAGGGGCCAGAAATTGAGGTCCGGTGTTGGCCCCTGACCGTCCCTGCCTCTACAGGTGCATTCTGACACAACTAAGTCCGAAATGATTTGTCTATGTACTTAAATGATTACAAAAATATATAAATAAATATATATATAAATACATATACAATATAATTACATTATGTCATGCTACAGCCGCACAATCAAGGGCACATGACAAAAACTGGTTTGCAGTGTAATATGATGCTGAGTAGTGACTCAGTGTTTAATCCTTATCAAACTTTCAAAAACCAGTGGATCACCATCTTATAGAAAATGATTAATGTCCCCACTCTCACTTGCTCTCTTGTTAATGCATGATCACTGTGGTTAAGGAGACAGGTCTCCGTGCACGAGGCCCAGCGAGAGAGAGCACTGTTCGTTGGTTGAGTACAGCTGACACCCTCATTCATCAGGGGGCTGCCTGCTTTCTCTCTCTCTCTCTCTCTCTCTCTCTCTCTCTCTCTCTCTCCCTCTTTCTGTCTCCCAAATTACCCTTAGCTGATCATTATTAAGACATTATAATGATGACAAGAGCAGTGTCTTTGTCTGAGGGGAAGAAAGGCTGCAGCTCCTGTGTGCTGGAGTGATTATATCTGTGACAGGTTGGCATTCTGTGTCGATGCTGCAGCTGCAATGATTTCCAGGAATAGGTATGAACATCTACTGTACAATCGTGAATACCTGGTTCACGTCAGTTTTATGTCTCTGACCTCTACCAACCAAAAAACCGACCGACGAGATGTTTGTTAAGAACTGAGGACTTTACGTTGGAGCAATTTGCAGAGTGGCTGGTGTCCTATAGATGCTTTAATATTTTGCTCTGGTGATTGCCACAGCAGAACCACCATGCAAATTTTAAGCATTGGAGATGTAGTTGACCCACATATAGTGAAACTTAACACCCATAGATAATGAGTTCACTCTTGGATTACGTTTCTGAGCTTGGTTGTAATATCACAGTATCATTTACACTTCTGTTAGATGTACTCAATGAAACATTGATGAGGAATTCTAAATGCTGCAGCGATCATTTACTCTCTAATGAAAACGGGAAACGTCTTACTCCCACTTTTTCTGTGCCTGCCCGTCACAACAATTAATCTTGTAAAAGCTATTGGTCACATTCTTTGTTTTCATGGGGAGGCTCTCTGCACTTATTTAATCGTGTTCTCCTCACAGATCAGTTAGCTGGAGAAGACACAGATCAGAGGAATGTTTTTATTCTGTGCTGTCTGTCAACACTTGATGCTGGTTTGAGTCTGAATGAGGGATTTCTCTCGGAGATTCAGTCTCTTGGCCGAGCTTTCACAGGGAGCCTCTCAAAACAGCGGGGGGGATCTGGTATTTTGTTTTTGTTGGAGTTTTTTCAGAGGGATAGAACTCCAACTTCCTGTGGAAAAAAAGTTTGTTGTTTGACATTTGGATGTGACGGTCTGATTGTTTTTATGTTCATAGTTTTACAATTGAGTGTATGCCAGTGCATATTATATAGGATACATCAGCAGTTAATGTGTACTTAAGCCCTCCCACTTGTTGAAAAACCCACCAACACCTCACTGTTGTCTGCAGTGAGAACGGATACACTTCACTTCCAGGTCAAAGGACTCTGCGATGGACACAGGGTATTATCAGCTCCAGATTTGCAGTGATGAACACATGACATCCAATATAGTTTTGGTGTAAAAGATATTTTAAAAGCAACATAATAAAGATTGTGTCAGATCATTATAGAAAGTGACTAAAAATTGCTGTCACCGTTCTGCACTGATGTTTAACCCCAGTTTATGTCTCCTGAAAACACTGTTTGCGTATCGGTAGCATAACATGTTTCTGCTTTGAAGAAATTAAATTTGCATCATTTTGGACTTCTCAAGAGAACCTCCCCACATCACGTCCTGCCTTTACTTCCATTTCATACATCAGATTATTTTGGCACTTCACCAAAAAAAGACTATTTCCTTGAGCCTCAGCTCCTCAGGGCCACTCTATCATTTTGCATTTCTCAAAATAAGATTCAAAAGAAATCATATTTATTTTGCAGAGTCACGGGTTGCTCCTTAATCTTTTATTCTGATCTGTTGCTGTGCACAAATTCCCCCTTCCTCCCTGTTTTCCATTAGCATGCTGCATTAAACAGCAAGCAAAATAAAAAACCCAAAAAACCCAATTCATTTCTTGACTAATCTGAACAAAACACCATTTCTACAGTTTTCCTGCTTTGCCACCATTTATTTAAAGCTGCATGGCTGTGTTAATGTGTATGCGTGCCAAGTACATTCATGCATGTGAGTGTGTGTCTGCAGATTGCTTTCTTATCGTTTCATGATATTGAAATTATGACTGCGTGACAGATTAACTTGAGGGTAGGCAGGATGTGACTGCATTGAGCAGCCGTGCACGTATCTCTGCCATCATGTCAACGGCAGCAACCGCCTCCAGTAAGCATCGCCGTAGTTTGCCTCGCCACTCGTCGGGGGTTTAATATTCAATTATTAGGGTCCTTTGGTTCAAGCTGAGCTGGATGGTTTGTGGAACAGCCCCACTGGTTGATGAGTGGGTATCTCAGTTCAGTAGGCTCACAGTTCACCCCTGAAGGAGGAAGAAACACGGCAGATGGCATGTGGGGGTGTTTTTAACTGACGTGGCAGGACTTTGTTGTAGTTTTGGCTTATTAGTGGTCGACACAGTAACAGGAGCACAGCAGAGAAACAGAGAAACAGAAAATATGAACTTGTCCTGAAAATATGGGTTTTGGTTTGAAAAAAGGTCTATACATTTAAGTGTGCTGACAGAAATGAAATATTAAAGTGGAAAGTTGAAAGTGTTCATGCAAAATTCCCTCAGAGGAGTAATATGACATCACCCAGCTGCCTACTATTATTATTTGCTGTGACAGTCTGTCAAACTGTGAGTCCAGCTGAGTCTGAAGAAGTGCGGGTCTCACCTCATGGTGTTGTGCTGACAAACAACAAGCAGGCGGATATACAGGCAGAGATTTTGCGGTGTGTGTGTGTGGAGAAAGCGTCTACTCCTCTGTCATCTCGAGGCAGATAAGATTCTTCAGCGGTCAGGTATCTGGACCTTGCTGGTGGGATGTTTCTTGGCTGAGAGCTGCACCAAGCTGTCAGTCAGATTAGCCATATGAGGCATTGGTGGGAGAGCAGCCCTGTCCTCGAGGGGACAGCCGTTACAAAGATCTGCAAATCCCCAATGCTGAATGTACAAACACACACACACACACACACACACACACACACACACACACATGCACTCACAACCCCCACTGAGGAACGGGGGCATGAGATCAAGCCAGGTCATGGGAGGCTCTTTTCAAGTAAACTCCTCCTGTGGGAGACTGCTGCCTCCTCCATGCCCTTCATGCACATGCTTTTTTACACACACACACACACACACACACCCACACACACACACACACACACACACACACACACACACGCGCGCTGCAAAAACACTTGGTTGGCTACCCGATGTTTATGGGTCACTGCTTCTAACTTCAGCCGTTGTGTACTGCAGTGGCCAGTTTGTTTTTGCCTCCTCAAAACATATATTAAACTTTAATGAAAGCTTCTCAGAGATTTTGCCTTGGTGACTATCTTCATGTGGAATATTCGCCAACACAAGTACTAACATTTACAAAACACAGGACTTTAACATGCCCAGGCTGCAACTACTGATTAGTTTTGTCATTAATGTAAGTAATGCTGCTGATCATATTCTCTATTAATTACAATTACAATTTCCTGCAGGCTAAAGTGACAAAGCCCAAAGATTTTCAAATGTATATTAATGTAAGAAAAGCTGCACATCTGAGCCATTTAACCTGAACTTAATCTCACCATCTCTGATGCTGTGGGACATTCTACCAGTTCCAGAATGATCAAAACAATCTTCAAAACAAACACAAACAAAGTAGAAGCTATTTATTTCTTCAGGTATTTTGCAGTGGAATATGATGGATTATTAATTTAGCAAAGAGAGAAAAACATACATTAATCCATATCATTGTCCTGTCATAGCATAATGTAATTAATAGGGAGGGTTTATTGAGATTTATATTTATATCCTGTGTGTTAAAATTTCACGAGAGTGCTTTTCTTATTGTCCTGATTTTTATTGTCTCTGC